AAGAGTAGATACCAAGGATGTTTTGAAATTTCAATTGATAAGATAGATAGAGAGATATAGGTATTACAATGGTCAAAATCCATGCGCAGAAGATTCACATTTGAATTAGGGGCGCCAAATACGGATCTCGCTCCATCCTAAAAGTAGGTTCGGGCCGGCACTGACCCCATACCCCATACCCATATAAGTAATGTAAAATGTCCGAGAACTTTACAGCTACCTTTTCTCGGACACCTTTTCAGGTATCTACAATTTGACGCCTTTGTGGTTTATAGTGTCCGCAAACTGGTCCATAGAATCTCGATACAGTCATGTATCTAATAAGGAAAATTAAGTTGAAAATCAAATAGGCTAGAAAAAGATACATATAGTTTCAACGTGCCGGACCCATTGTCGGACAGAGTGGCCGAGAAGAGGAGTCTGCCGATTTGTAGGACCGGTTATCCGGACATTTAATAAAATTAACAAAATAATAATATTCATTTAATTTTCATGGTTATAATCGTAGATTAACATGTTTATAACTTAAAATCATCAACAAAATATCGAAAAATGGAGTAGGAACATTTTTACTTACTTCCTTCTTAGCTTCACACTAGCAAACTTTTTCATTTGATCAAAAGGGCTGTGTTGGGAAAAACAGCAGACATATTATTATTTTATTTACAACCACATACGTAATGTTGACATTTCTGACTTTTCAAAAGTTTGAAAGTGACACTTTTTTGAATTTTACTTTCCACCCGGGTGGAAAGTGGTCCCGGGTGGAAAGTGCTCACTTTCCACCCGGGTGGAAAGTAAGTTCTCATTTTTTAAAATGTTTAAGACGAGTCCTGCATGTCAAACGTTTTTTTAGATGAGTCAGAACTTGTCAACAAATTTTTAATTTTTTTTTTAGTATTTAGTCGAAATTATGAGGGTTGTAATTGTTGTAAATAAAATAGTATACAAACCTCGGTAGGAAGTTTCATTCCTGTCTCGAGATTATAGTTAACTTCGATGCTTCGCGTCTCAGTTAACTAACTAATCTCTCGACAGTAATGAAACACTTTTCACCTCGGTATGTAATATACTATTTCTTAATTTGGTCTAGGCCCGTAAAGAGGACGGTATTGCAAAAACTGGTGAGGAAATAGTGTCTGAAAGTAGGTATTACTCTAAAAAGGGGTTTGATATAATATTTTCCTATTTATTGGATATTTTGTCATAAAGTGTCCGACAACAGGGGGTGGCCGGCTAACAGGTACTTTCACCCTATGTTGATCTTGCTGTTTCTATGGCTATGGGAACGTTGCGACCATGGACCAGAGTTCTTGGCGTGACATGTTCTCACGCAGGATAACTTGCTGAAGTAGCATCTATAGACTTTGTAATACTTTGTACCACTATGGTGATGAAACGCGTCTTGAGGTCAATGTAGTCGTGAAATCCATATACCATATCTTTTCAGAGCTAATTTTGGCGAAAAATAAAAAATACAAGGAAGACACAAATTAATAATCATGAATAATTATGACAATTTTTATTATTATTATAAAGCATTTCTTGCAAAAATTCCAAACTACTATCAATATATCAACATAATTAAAAATAGGAACTACAACAAATACATTCACCCACAAGAGTAGTCTCGCACGTGGGTTTAAGGTTTAAAGTCAACCCCCATTTTCTGAACCTTGTGTTCAAAAATTCCAAAAAAAATATATGTTATATCGCAAAAACTAAAAAAAAGTGGTTTTTCACCATTTATTTCAAAACGAAGAGATGAAGTTTCCCATTATTTTTATTACGAACTACTATTGCAATTCTAAGCGACATATATTTTTTTCAAATTTTTTGAACTTGTAGTTTTCTCGCTATTGCAATAATAGTTGGAAATACGCCTGTAGCTACACTGTTTAAAAATAAATCCGACGGATGAACGTTCAAAATTATTTGTGTTGGTCCAAACTACAACCCTGTTTATGTAAAACAGAATAATACTTCCAATTTCCGCAAAAAAAAGAAAAAACTTTCCATCACACAATTTAACCAAATGCAGATTTCTATTTTTTTTGACTATCAAGTTAGGGCACACTATAGGGGCGACAGTACTGACATCTCGCGTTGCTGCAATAAACAATAGGCCTGACTTTGAACCTTAAGTATCTATGTACATTCACATATTTTATACGTATTATGCATATTAAAAACACCTATAATTATAATTTTTAACAAATGCCCATCACCATAATACTACACTTAAAGTTCTTGTTACTCACACATCAGAAAAAAAAGAAGAAGAAATTAGTAATATGAGATTCTCTCGTACACACTTGTACTTAAATAAAGAAAACACCGTTGGCCGATCGTTTTCTTCATTTGTGGTTTGACCGCTGAGTCTTGTTTATGTCTTGTGTCATGATTATGTTGAATGCCTTGAACAATAATTTTTTTTGTGTAAATTCTGTTAGAAATGATCTGAAAGTACAGTAGCCTAACATCAAGAATACCTGTATCTGCGAATAGCGCTTCTGACGGATAAAGTCTGTGTTTATTATATATAATCTTGAGAAGCCATTTTTGAACAACATCTAGTTTTTTAAGATAAGATTTTGTTACGCCCCCCCATACAATCAAACCATACGTCAAATGTGATTGTGCTAATGCGCAGTACAGAACTAGCATTTGCTGTAAAGAAAATATTCCCCTATAAAAACGGAAAAGTGATAGGAGTGATCTAAGCTTTTTAGCTACATAGTCCACATGGACGTCCCATTTAAGATGACTATCCACCCAAACACCTAAATACCTAAAGTTTGTACACTGTTTGATTTCAACCTGTTCAGGACCAATTTCGAAAGCTAGCGCTTTATATTCTGGTAGACCATTTGCATAGCTGCTAAAGGGCATAAACAATGTTTTTTTAAAATTTATACTCAAAAGGTTATTATTAAGCCACTGTATTATCTTTGGAAAATCGGTAATTATAATATTGTAGAGCTCCTCCCACGTGTCCGCCTTATACTGAATTCCGGCGTCATCAGCAAATCTTGTCAACTCGGCCCGGCTGTCAACCTGGTGAAGATCATTAATATATATATTAAACAACACAGGACCGAGGACAGTTCCCTGAGGAACGCCGCAAGTTACTGTCAAGGGATCACTGAGAACTCCATTTATTTCCACTGATTGTGCTCTTTCATCCAGATAACTTTTAAAAAGTTTTACCGCATTTTGATCAAAGCCAATATTTCCAAGTTTGTTCATCAGCAATTTATGAGATATTGTATCAAATGCCTTAGCTAAATCAACAAAGATGCATATTGACGGAGTACTTTTATCTACTGATTCGTATACTCTTGAAATAAACTCCGCCAATGCATCTTCTGTTGATCTGCCCTTTCGGAAACCATATTGAGATTTGGACAATATGTTGTTGGCATCTAGATGTTGTACGATACGTTCCTTTAAGATTTTTTCATATACTTTGGAAATATTACTGATCAAAGAAATTGGTCGATAATTTTTAACGTCGGTGGGGTCCCCTGATTTAAATAGTGGCTTTATGGTAGCTTCTTTGAAAATATCGAGATAAACGCCATCAATAATTGATTTATTGATGATGAATGTAAGTGGATCCACAATGAGATTACAAACTTCCTTTAACGTTTCCGAGGTTAGCCCATCTCTCCCCGGTGATTTCTTAGGTTTTAATGTTTTTATTGTTTTTATAACCTCTTCATTATTTGTCGGTACCAATGTTAACTTATTTAATATTTTTGTTTCTTTAAATTTTGTATTTTTATTGACTGTTATGGTCTTTGCTAAATCCGCAGCCACATAGGTGAAATATGTATTAAAACAATTAGCAATATCTTTATCAGATGTAATTTTTATATTTTCAGCTGCTTTTATTTGTTGTATATTATTTTTTATTGTTGTTGTTATTTATACTTTTCATACATTTCCATAATTTGTTGCGATTGTTAACATTGTCTTGTAGTTGCTTTTTATAGTAATTTATTTTGGCTGTTCTTAAAGTGTTGATTAAGGTGTAGGAGTAACTTTTAAATTGCTGCTTTTTATTTGAACTATTTGGATTTTGCATTATTTTATATAGTTGTTTTTTGTAGTTAACTGATTTTATGAGCCCACTTGTCATCCAGTCCTTTCTTTTTATTTCGTTACGTTTAACTTTTTTTTTTGGTGTACAAATGCTCACAAGTTCTTTCAGGTGTGTAACAAGTTTCGTAGCGGCACAGTTAATGTTTTTCTCATTGTATATGTTTTCCCAGTTGGATTTTTGCAGTTCACATTTCAAGGATTCGACATCAAGGTAAGATTTAAATTTATCAACTTTGTTTTGACTATCCATTTTGGATTCAAAAACTATGGATGTGAATGGTATTTGCGAATTTTTTTGTTTAAGAAAAATATGGTCAATACAAGATTTTCTTGTACGGCCCTCCCTAGTACTACTATTAATTGTCGAGATAAATCCCCATTCTTGTAGACAGTTTAAGTACTCGTTCTTGACCTCTGTGTCCTGCAATAAATCTATATTTATGTCACCCAAAATAATATCAAAGTCGTACGTTTTTAACTGCACTTTTTCCAAGTAGGTGTAGAAGCTACGAAGAAAAGCACATTCATTTGTTGAGGGCGATCTATATAGCGCTATCAATCGAAACGATGTGTTCTTCTTATTCACCGTTAAGTAGATAAGTCTGCTATTAAAAAACTCAACGATATCAAAATTATCAAATGAATAACTCAAATCGCTGCGAACATAGATTGCAACTCCGTCGTTTTTATTATAATTACCGGAATTGTAGATTAGGTTATAGTTATATAAATTTAAAAGTGACAAGTTTGTTAATTTGTGAGTTTCTGTTAATATCACACATTCAAAGTTACGATCCAAAGCTGTTAAAGTTACTGCTAGTTCATCAAAATGGTGGGATAAACTATTGCTACGAAATCGTTAACGCCAGAAACAACGGCGTCCGCCAGGCTGTCAAGAATCGATGGCGGAAATACTAGAATCTAGCGAATTATTCTACTTTAATCTGGAAAATTAGATTATCGTGTGTATTCTAGATTTCACAGGAATAGATTTAGGGATATATAAGAAGGCCGGCATTGGTTTGTAAGTTTAGTTTCAGTTCGACTGTGATACGATTTAAATAGTGATTGTAAAGAGTTTAATTGTTGAGTTAGTAAAGTAATTATGTGTCAGAGTGTTTTGTTAAGTGGAATAAATTATTGCTGTGTTAATTGCACTTTGATTTTTGGAATTAACGAAACGAACGACGAACCCAAGATTTTTGTCAGCAGGCAACCCAAAGCCGCGACATTGGTGCCAAGAAGTGGGATATAAAGGACTGCAGAGTGAAATCCAATTGCGGAAGTGTGGGGACACTAGTGTAGTGTAAAAACTAAACACTAAGTGAACACTGGGACAGTTAGTGCAGTGCAAACAGTGACAATCACAAAAAGAGACTCAACCGATCGTGTGAATTACCCCGGAAGTGACTCTATACCCGATTTAGACTGTGATAGTGAATCTTCGAGTGAGTTCTAGAAAATTCTATTTGGAAACTAAGGGACATATCGAATTTGTGACTTCGCCGACGTATTCGGAACATCAATCGTCATTCAGAAGAAGTTTTTCGAGGAGTTTCGGGAAAATTCTAGAACATTCTATTTGGAAACCAAGGGAGATATCGAAATTGTGACTTCACCAACGTGTTTGCTGTATCAATCGACATCTAGAAAAAAAGTTTCAAGAAAATTCCAGAACATTCTATTCTAGAATAAGGCAAGTTATCCAATTTGTGACTTCACCGGCGTGTTGGAGCTTCGAGCACAGACCAGAAAAGATATTTGAAGAAAGTTCGAGGGAAATTCTAGAACATTCTGTATATGCCTATCACAAGACAACAAGCCAAAATGGACGAACAAAAAGTTGAAGAACTCCTGCACAAAATGTTGGAACTTCAAGAGACCAAACGACAACAAGAAAAACAAGACGAAGAAGCTAGACGACAACAAGAAGAGGCTAGAAGACAACAAGAAAAACAAGACGAAGAAGCCAGACGACTTCAAGAAAAACAAGACGAAGAAGCTAGAAGACAACAAGAAAAACAAGACGAAGAACTCAGGCGACAAAAAGAAAAACAAGAAGAAGAAGCTAGACGACAACAAGAAGAAGCTAGGCGACAACAAGAACGGCAAGAAGACCTTGCAAAACTGCAGAAGATATTCCAAACCATACAAGGAACTGTCGCTAACTTAGACCAGAAGATTGAAAAAGTTAAAGACGATGTGCAAGAAGTTAAACACGACGTCCAGGAAGTAAAAACTGAAGTCAAAATCGATGTTCAAGAAGTTAAAGACGATGTAAGAGAAGTTAAACACGACGTTCAGGGAGTAAAAGCTGAGGTCAAAGCCGATGTTCAAGAAGTTAAAGACGATGTTCAGCAACTAAGACAAGAAGTTGAGGACCAAGTTCAAGCACTCGAGGATAAGATGCGTAGATTAGAAATACAGTCCATAAATCCAGCTAGTGTTGGAGCATTCTCCAGTATGAAGATAAAACCACCAACTTTCGACGGTTTTACGTCCTGGACCATGTATATTCGACAATTTGAAGCTGCTGCAAATACCAACGGATGGAACAACCAAGAAAAAGCTACAGCACTAATAGTGGCGCTACGAGGACCTGCCTTAGACCTTCTTCAGTCCATTCCTTCAGTCTACCAACAGAATTACCAGCATCTTAGTCAAACTTTAGAACTGCGCTTCGGAGACCATTACAGACAAGAAGTATTCAGAACTCAAGTTAAATCAAGAGTTCAAAAACCCGGCGAGAGTCTACAAGAATTCGAATCGGAAGTTAAAAGGCTAGTGAGTTTGGCGTTTCCTGCAGCTGGGGAAGACATGCAGGAATGGATGGCACTATCTGCGTTTATTGATGGTCTCAGAGATTCGAAGATCCAGGAAAACCTAAGAATGTCTAAGTTCAGATAAAGTAGCGAAGCCCTTGTCCGAGCATTAGAACTGGAAGCAATCTTTGGTGCCTCACGACCCAGAATACGAGCAGTGTCCATTGAAGACCCAAAAGATAAACAGTTCGTCACCGTAGGATTATAATGGTCTATATCCATTTTTTGGGGAAAAAGAGTTAATTGCACAATTTTTTTCAGGAAAATTAGCTTGGTCTATATCCATTGAAAACACATATTAAACATTTCAAATAAAAAAATAAATAGTAATATTTTGTTATATATCCCTTCAAAATTTTAAAATGCCAAAAATTATTTTGTGCCATATCCCAAACTTCTTATTTGTGCTATATCCTCTAAGTCTATTGAAGCTATCCTAAAAATTATTGTGTTCTATATCCTATCATCTAGGATATAGAATAAAATGGTGCTTATAGACTTTGCCCTTAAATGAAATTATATTGTTCTATATCCATTGGCATTCCCTTTCTTTCAGATCTAAATAATATAGCTATCTTGTATCTTTGTTTATTCACCTATCACCGGCAAACAAACACACAAACAACTTAACCTATCTTATAACTTTCCAGTGAGTATGAGTAATACACCTACCGGCTTTTGAGTAATTTCCTCAGAAAAGTGTGGTAATAATTGAAATTATTGTTTTGTTAATAATTTATTGTGATTAGCGTGATAATGGAGTCTTTAGAAGCACAAGGGTAAGTTTAATCTATAGTGATATCACGGATTATTTTAGGTTTTACGTTTACACATCAAAACATAATTTTGCATTTTTATAATTTGAATAAAAAAATCGCATTGATACTAACTAAGTAGGTAGAAGGTAGTAGGAAGATAATAATTAATTAATAATATTATATAAATTATAATTTTCCATTACTTAGCTCTGAGTCTGAGGATAAAACGTACGAAAGTCGAACAAGTTCCCCAGGACCTGAGAAACCTTTAGACTGCCCGAGTGATGTTTGTGAGTAAGATTTTTTATTGATTAAATATTGTTATAATGGCCTTATATGCTTTTATTTAGCAGGAAAAAAAACAGAACAAAGTTTAGAAAATCGTTGAATCATGAATCAAAATACATAATCAAGATTGTACAGATTAATATAATAATAAGTTTAAATTTTAATGTCAGTTTATTTTCTTGTAAATCCATATTTAAAATATAAGGTCATGTAGTAATTGCTCATTTGCAGAAAAACATTTCAATCTAAACTTTTTTACAGTTCAATGCTAAATATGATAGACACAATAGATAAAGAAGACTCTATGCTTCCGTCTATTTATGGCTTGTAAGTTTATCTACTGAAAGTAGGTGAACCATGTTTTCTAAATGCACTTTTATTGTTTTAGAGATGAACACGTAAACTTTGAGATAGATTCAAACGACAATGACATGAACGGTGATTCGAAGTGAGATTGTTTTTAAATAAAGATATGAAACATTAAGTATGCTTGTTTTTAGTGCAAATGCGAGCGACTCCCAAAATGAAATTGTTTTAGAAATAATAGATATTAACGAGGATGGACAAGAAACAATTCTAAATAAAGAAAGTGTGACACTACCAGAAGATGAGACACAAACCCAACATGTAAACGAAACCATAATGGCCGAAGAAAATAATAATATTTTAGAAAATGTTGATACAAATACCCCTACCAGAAAACGCAAACGAAATCCAAATGGGTGGAAGCAAAATATACGGAAAGAAAACCGTCAACATGGTAAAGAATATATTAATACAAAGGGCAAGTTAGTTGCTCATAAATCGGTAAAAACAACTGGATGCAAAACAGAAAAATGTAGTTTTAAATGTGAAGAGAAAATTACAGTTATCGACAGAGAAAATATAAACAGAAAATTCTGGAGCCTTGGCGACGAAATAAAAAATCATTTTTATTCTAAGCATATTAGAAGATACCCAGCAATACGAAAAAGAACTAAAAATGAAAATAGCAGGAAGACTTATTCTTACGATTACTTTCTTTATGTCTCTGGTGTAAAAATTAAAGTGTGCCAAGAGTTTTTCCTGAATACTTTAAACATTAGCAAAAGTCGGGTTTACTACTTTTTTCAAAAAGTCGAAAGTCCCAAGTCCAACGTTCCACGGGCTCCTATTACAGGAAAACATCAGAAAAAGGTAGTTCCAGACGAAGATAAAGAAAAAGTTAGGAATCACATCTCATCGTTTCCTCTAGTAGAATCGCACTATTGTCGCCAAAATTCATCAAAAAAATATTTAGAGCAAAATCTAAATATCCAAAGAATGTATGACCTATATAAAACGACTGTTGAAAATCCCGTTAAATTTCATTTATACAAGTCCATTTTTAATAAGGAGTATAACATAAGTTTTTTTAAGCCAAAAAAGGACTTATGTGATAAATGCGAAGGTTTTAAAGTAAATAGAAATGCAAGTACAGAAGAAAAAATGGAATATGAAGAACACCTGAAAAGAAAAAATATAGGTAGACAAGAGCGACAGAGAGACAGGGAAGCCTATATTGATGATGATACGGTGGGAATAATCACTTTTGACCTAGAGAATACTTTTTCTTTACCTAAAGCAAATATTAGTAACTTTTTTTACAAAATGAAGTTATGTTGCTACAATTTAACGGCCCACTTGGATAAAACTAAAGTTGTTTATAATGCAATATGGCATGAGCTTATTTGCGGTAGAGCTGGTGTTCACATTGCCAATGCTATAATAAGAATTTTGAAAAGAGTTATTGAGGACAATCCGCAGCTAGAGAAAATTATTTTGTGGTCTGATAGTTGCGTACCACAAAACAGGAATTCCATTTTGTCATTCGCTCTACAGTATTTCCTTAACTCGCCAGAGTCTGGAAATTTGAGGAGGATTGAACAAAAGTTTGGAGAACCAGGACATGGCAATGTTCAGGAAGTCGACGCAGCTCACAGCTGCATTGAGAGATTTATTAAGAATTTGGAAATATGGAGTCCTCTAACTCTCGTTCGCATACTCTTGAAGATTCCAAATACATGGAAGCTGAAATTTTCTGTTTTACAGATGAAACCAGCTGACTACAAGAACTATCAACTGCTTTCTGGGACATTTAATTACAATGAGATTCCATACACAAAATTGAAACATATAATTTATGACAAGAGATCAATATTTAATGTTAAATTCAAAACATCATTTGAAGGAGAATCATCTGAGGTGAGGTTAGTGCCTCTGAAAAAATATAGACATAACAACCATGTAGGCATAGAGTTTCCAACGTCTATCCCAAATATAAACTTGGCTGTAAAAATAAATGATGCGAAAAGAAAACATTTACTTGAAATGATGGATTATATGCCCGAAGATGAAAGAATATTCTATAAAAATTTAATGCCCACGGAGAAAACTGCTGCAAATAAGCAGATTATGGTGAAGAAAACCAATAAGCCATCCAAGGTTGGAAATAAGAAACCGAAGAAAAAAGGAATTGCATCTACAAGCAAGAAATGAAAATAGGAATAAGTTTGATATCTTTTTGAGAAGAATTTTTCATTTTGTATGCATTACTATTAAAGTTAAAGTGTGTGAAATACTTTAAAGAAATAATAAAATTATGTTGTTCTACATCCCTAACTTTTGTTCTATATCCCTAGAATTTCATTGGACTGCACTACTTTTTTGTATTTATTCCATATCCAAAATAAAAAACTTAAATATATTTTATTACAGACGTCCAAGACATGTTTAATTGGTTGTGATATAAATATGAATATATATATATTCCATACAAATAAATTTTCAATGGGACTTTGCCTATATTATTCAGAAAAAACGAGATTAAACTTCAAACCTTGTTTCCTCGTTTTGAACTAAATGGACATAGAACACTTTAACACTACGGTGACGAGTTGTCAAAAGAGGATGGTAGCTTCGAAACCAAAATCAGTAATTTCATGGAGAGAATGGAGAAACTGTTACTAGAAGATAGAAAAATGAAAACGATTCCAGACAAACACCAACACCGAGAAACTGAGTAAAATGCTACCGGTGCCAAAAGCTTGGACACATGCAATGGGATTGTAGATTAAGGATGTCCTTTCCATCTAGGGATCATTCTCAACGCTTTTCAAGGTCTAGAGACGCCAGCCCTAATAATAAGCAGAAACCAACTAGTACGGAAGGGAGGATGCTGGCTAGTAATGACGAAACCCCCAGAGTTGTGTACATAAAATCATTGGGCGGTCATTATAGAGGATTAAAATTCGAAGGACAAATCAATGGAGAATTGAAAACCATCACTTTTGATACGGGTGCTGAAGTTTCCATAATTAGAAGAACATTAATCAAGTCTCGGGCAATCCAACCGCTCACTAGAAACCTGTCACTACGAACAGTCACCGGAGAATCTGCACCAGTTCAAGGAGAAGCTATGGTTGAGCTCACTTTTGGATCTACCACCTTTAGGCACAGAACATTAGTCGCCGATATGGAAGACGATTTTATTTTGGGAATGGATTTGATCGGCCAACATGATTTCTCCTTTGATCCTTCCATGAACATCCTTAAATTTAGTAATGAAGAAATTGTCCTAACAACACAAGAAGAATCCGAAGCCGTTAAGATCTTGGCCACAACCCCAGTGAGGATTCCTGGAAGTACTGAGAAGATCATTTTCAGAAGATTAGAAACCAACCCTGGGTGCTGCGTTGGACTAACACGTAATTTCATTGGAGATAAACCAGAAAGGTTTCTTGTTGGAAAGACTCTAGTAAGAACAAATGGAGACATTATGATGAGAATTGCCAATGTTTCTTCCGAAACAGTAAGAATAAAAGAAGGAGACATTATTGGATCTCTCGAACCAGTGAAGCAAATATCGAACTGTGACCTACCAGATAAGCGACACTTTGTGAAATCCAAATTGGATACAGACACCTTGATGCAGACTTTGGCGAAATCATGGAAACATCTTGATCCAGATAGACTTCAAGAAGTCACAGATTTCATTTTGAAAGAAGCAGACGTATTTTTGATGGACAATCAAACCGGACGAACCAGTTTAATTCAACACAAAATTGATACTGGATTGGCACACCCAATTAGACAACCACCACGACGTATGCCAGAGCTAAGCAACAGGAAGTGGAAAACCAAATTGATAAAATGCTTCAAGAGGGAGTCATTGAAGAGTCAAATAGTCCATGGTCCGCGCCAGTAGTACTGGTTACGAAGAAAGATGGGAGTCTTAGATTTTGTGTGGACTACCGAAAGCTCAATGACCTCACCAAGAAGGACAGCTTCCCTCTCCCAAGAATAGACGATACACTAACAACTCTATCGGGCTCCAAATGGTTTTCCACCTTGGACCTCAAAAGTGGATACTGGCAAGTGGCAATACATGACGATGACAAAGAGAAAACTGCCTTCAGTACCGGAAGATTTGGATGATGTCATGATTATGGGAAATTCGTTCCAAGAACATCTCAATAACCTAAAAGAAGTTTTTGACCGCTTCCGGAATGCCAACTTGAAACTCAATCCAAATAAGTGTTTCCTATTTCAAAAGAAAGTGGAATTTTTAGGTCACGTGGTATCTGAAGAGGGCATACAAGTTATGGAAGGAAAAATAGATGCTGTCAGGGACTGGCCAAAACCACACGACAAACATGAACTAAGGAGTTTTCTAGGATTATGTTCTTATTATCGAAGATTTGTGGAAGAATTCGCCAATATAGCTGCTCCACTTCATCGATTGACAGAAGAAAATTCAACATTCAATTGGACCCAAGAATGCGATTCCGCATTTAGAAAATTGAAAGGAGCATTATGTACAGGGTGTCCCATTTAAGATGGTATTGGGGGTTATCTGCTAAACTCGTAGAGGTAGATTTTTTTTGATTTCACATTCCAATTTTTCATGACGGATCGAATGCCGCAAACCGCAAGTCTCTATCTCGTACCGTTTCGGAGATACAGGGTGAAACTTGAAATTCTCACTTTTCGAGGGAAATCATTATCTCGCGTAAGAAAAAAGATATCAGAAAGATGAAAATTGCACCTGACGCAGTTTTTTACGTAGATTCCATTGGCGTACTGCAATTTTTTTTTCCAAGGTACCGTTCAAGAGATATGACTCAAACTTCATCTTTTTTAAATGGGACACCCTGTAAATTTTTACATTTTTAGAATATGCATAAACTTACCTTTCCAATGATATATAGTTTGTCTATATTCTGTTGTAATTTGCCAATATTATTATGGTATTTAAAACTTTCCATAAGAAATAAATCTTGTAAATCACATTGAATAATTGGTTTTATTTTTTGGTGTGAAAAACTCATAATTTTTTGATATGGGACACCCTGTAAAATTATATTTTATTAATTGATGTATTTTTTCCCATTTTCACGATATAGGTATTACACTTTTAAGTTATACCTCTGCATTAACTTCAAGAAAAAATAGTTTCTGATTGTAAAGAAAATTGACGTTATTTCGGATTAACTAAATAATCAAATATCTCACTAATGCTCGGTAACCGAATTTAATAGTCTAACGCCCAGTTTATTCTTCTGATTGACAGTTTATCAGATTCGAGAAGATATAGTTTCTGATTGTAAAGAAAATTGATGTTATTTCGGATTAACTGGTACCTACCTACAGCAAATATCATGGAAGAAATAATCAAATATCTCACTACTGCTCGGTAACTGAATTAATGAGTCTAACGCCCAGTTTATTTTTCTGATAAACTGTCAGGCAATGCAAATGGCGGAAAAACTGGCAATCTATATATAATCCTATTGGTTGGCCAATTATCTGCAGACCAATAAGATTAGAGGTTGGCAAATTTATCTTGTAGTGTAGACAGTTAGACGGTTGGCCTTCCGCACATTAGGCAACTGCAAAGAAACATTCTAGAAACTTGAGTCGTCAATCAGTTGCTTATTAGTTGCCGCTAGTGTATTTCAATGAGCATCCGCACACAACACAACTCGCTGGTAACGAAACTCGTCGGGTCGGTGATCAGTTAGTCGCAACCCGACATGCACCGTCGCTTGGCGATAAGTTTCTAGTTTATCTTATATAAACAAGCACGCAAAATGGCGGAAAGCGGAAACTGGAGAACAATTCTTCAATTTGAGATTTGAGGCTAGTTCAAGTCCTATATGCATATTATTTTATTATTTAATGAGGTGGTAAACCTAATACCTCATTTTCTTGTGCCGATTTTTTTAAAATTATAAGTGATGATATCTTCATGACTTAATTGAATCATTATTCACTGAATATTTTTTGCCAGGTTAATAACAAAATCTTAATCATAATAATAAAACAATAATTTAAACTCAACAAAGCTACTATAATTAAGAAGCGACTTCATTTTTCAGTAGCGTCGTGTGCGATCCAAATTCCATAGTTGGTAACTAGTTGGTGATTTAAGTTGCCAATTGGTTTGATTGCTTTTAAGTTGCTTAAAATGTGCCTTACCAGTAAATTTATCTAAAGATGAATAAACCGGGCCTTAGACTAATAAATTAAGTTTCCGACCATTGGCAATATGTAATCCCATTGATCGGTGAGTTATCCGCTAACCAATAGGATTAAAGATCGGTGAGAATATCTTGCAGATAGTTACCAGCAATAAGTTTATCGTAAGATGAATAAACCAGGCCTTATCTTATTCAGATAAAGTTGCTGGTAATTATCTGCAATGTGAATTTACCGTTTTATAATTCTATTGGTCGGCGGATAACTGGTCGACGAATTGGAATACATATTGGGTTTTTATCCGTCAGATTGCATACCATAACTGACAGTTTATCAAAAGGATAAACCGGCCTTTCATCATATATTTTCCCATTGCAACGATATAGGTATTACACTTTATAGTTACCCCTCTGCTCTAAGGCCAAGAAAAAATAGTTTCTGATTGCAAGGAAATTTTGATGTTATTTTGGATTATTTGGTACAGCCGATTTCATAAAATAAATAACTAAAAATTTTACTAATGCTCGGAAACTGAATTTAATAGTCTAAAGCCAGTTTATTCATCTCATCATCATAGATAAACTTACTGGTAAGGCCCTCCGCACACCAAAAATTAATCGCGAAGGGACGCTGCATGTCGGGTTGCGACTAACTGATCACCGACCCGACGAGTTTCGTTACCAGCGAGTTGTGTTGTGTGCGGATGCTCATTGAAATACACTAGCGGCAACTAATAAGCAACTGATTGACGACTCAAGTTTCTAGAATGTTTCTTTGCAGTTGCCTAATGTGCGGAAGGCCAACCGCCTAACTGTCTGGACTACAAGATAAATTTGCCAACCTCTAATTTTATTGGTCTGCAGATAATTGGACAACCAATAGAATTATGTATAGATTGCCAGTTTTTCCGTCATATTGCATTGCCTGACAGTTTATCAGAAAAATAAACTGGGCGTTAGACTAATTAATTCAGTTACCGAGCAGTAGTGAGATATTTGATTATTTCTTCCATGATATTTG